TTGGTACATACAAAACTAACCTACCTACTAGTAAATTTTACGTAGGTAGGCTACTAAATTTAATTGTTTAGTAACCTCGGCTCTATATAAACTTTTACCATATATATATATATATATATATAGAAGCTATCAAAAGGTTATAATTGTAATGAATAATAATATAGGTTAACTCCTAGTTATCAGATCCCATGGTTTAAAACACGTTATTATTTTTTAATTTTAATCTTTTTTATAGATCGAATTGAGCTGAAATTTTAAGCATGTGTACTAAAAAAGTAGCACAAAAAAAAATTGATTTTCTAAAAATTTAAAATAACCAAAAATACCCCTAAAAATGACAACGGTAATTTTTCATTTTAAAATTTTTATATTTTCATTTAGTGCAAGATTGTATCAAGTCTATACGCCTAAAGTTTTAGCTTGAACGGATTTAAAAATAAATAAATAAATAATTAAATAGTGACATGTATTTTCAACTATCTAATTAAAATCTAATGCTTAAAAAAACCTATATTGTTATTCATTATAGCTTACAAAGTAAAGTTTCCCTTCAAATCCTCGTCCAGCAGCACTTTGGACATAAAAAATCTCCATAATGGCTTTAAAATCAATTTCCAACAACGACAATGAAATTTGAAACTTTCAGATCTTACAAATCAGTTAAACACTTATTTTAGCGCCGAAATAGACAATCTTAATAATTTGTTACAATATAGATTAATTTTAGGACTTGAAATCCTAATATTTTTTACAACCATAATAGTCAATGCCGAGATAATAGATTCGAAGGTATTCCGACTCACCAATACTTGGTGAGTCCTGAGGTGAGGGTTTACTTATTTTAACATTTTCCAGAGGTGAGGTTTTACTTATTTTAAACATTTTCCAATTGATATACTCTTAAAATATGGAATGTAGACAAATTCTGAATCTTAACATCACGAAAATTCTCGTACATTATCTTCACTAATGAAAGGCCATCATTGAAAAATTTATATCACTGAAAAACATGTAAACTTGCAAAAATACAGAAAATCGCAGCACTGTACAAATCATATACAGGGATGCATAATATTCATGATTACAACATATATTAAAATACCGAAACCACAAAAGCCTCAAGAAATGCACCTGTGGACCAAAAGAAACAGGAACCACGACAACATGAATGACGGACAGATTCAGAAGTAACATTATCGAAGTGGATGACATACAAACAAGATACAGAAAACATCAACTGAGGAATCATTAGAGAGGTTTTTAACTCACCAGGTTGGCTATCGAAGGTCTTTTTTTTGCTTGGCAGTCTGTACATACTCATCAGCTAGCTTTTTAATCTTTTGGCCTTCTTTGATCAAGAAGTCTGCATTTTTGGCTTTGCAGTGGTATCTCATGACTTTATGTGTTGCTTTAGTGGCTGCCCACCTATAATGCTCCACAGTTATTACACCACTTTTGCACAAAGGTCTGATATGCTCTTTAATATATGCTTCCACCTGAATTAACATAAACTCAAGACACGTTTAAAAATGAGGATCAGTTAATGATAAAAAAAGTCTAAATATATGATGATGGTATCGAAACTTATAGTCAATCTGATTCACAAAAACACTCACATGAGAGAGAGAGAAAGAGAGAGAGAGAGAAAGAGAGGGTTTTAATTGTATTTTTGGAAAGAACACCTCCCTGTCTGCAAAAGGTAAACCGTTTTATATTAGGGTGTTGTTTCTATAAGGTTGCAACCTTAAACAATCCAAGTAAGGCACGCCTCCAAATTTTATCATAACATATAATTTTGGTGTAAAAAATTCTTAAGATTATGTGAAAATCTATTTTCATATCTAATTACAAAATTTTCAACTCCAAAAATGGTTAAAATCAAATAGATCTATAAACATATGAAAATCTTGAAAATGGACGGTCTAGATAATGTGTTGCAAAATGCACTAGTTCTAGGACTCAAAATCTTTTTTCTTATTTTTTTCATATTCATACATCTCGATGTCGAGATGATCAATTATAGGGCTTTATAACAATAAAACAACTTTTTCCTATGGATTTTTTACGTGCATCTTTTGATTCATTTTAAGGTTGCAACCTATTATGGAAAAGCTGCACTGTTATTCTAATAAGACAAATGAATGACTTGGAGCAAACCAGCAGGAAAACCTTACCTTTTTCCAAACTGAATAATTACGATTCGAAGGCCCATCATTGCTGCGTCTTGATTCTTCAACTGGAACATTCTCAGTCGTCAACCCTCTTGAAATAATTGGTTCAGAATTTTCATCTGTGAAAGAACGGTAATGAGTAGCACCATACTTCTCAGTAATTTCATCTATAGAGACTTTCCCAATAGTAGCATCAGGCTTTCCAGTAAATTCGCTTCGGTTGCTGGATGTATCGACGATAAACTGGTTCAAAATGGGTTCTTCCTTACCATACAATTCTTCACACTCTGCTAAAGAAGGTTCTTTAAGTTCAATATCAGTTTCGCTGAGCTGACAGGTTTTTGCTGTTTCAAGACCAGTAGCTGAGCTTCTTGAGCCTCTAATTTTGTTAACCTCAATATTTTTGGGCTCATGTGTTGCCAATGTCTTATGATCCCCTAAACTTGCATCAGACATAACATCTCTCAAGGCTCCATTTCCAGAATTTGGATTTTTCACCACTGTTTTCTCACTGCAAGGAGTGGACAATACCACTTTCATTTTCAAGTCACCGTCTTCCTTCCGCAACTTAGACTCCCTTGAAGAACTCACAATGCTTGAAGGGAAGATGAAATCTTCATCTTCCAAATCATAATCAAAATCTCCATATATGTCCATCTCTGCATGAGAATCTAACTCCAGTACATTTTCACAATTCTTTTCTTGGTCGTCATCAGAATCATCATCATCATCAACAAGGCCTGCTTCTTTTAATGCTCGTTGCACATCACAATTTAATGCGGCATCGGATGTATCACCTTCTGGAATTTCTTTTATTTCTTCCTTGGGATTAGGAATGGTTTTTTCGGTTTTAAATCTCTGATTTGCTGAAGAATGCTGAGACAATGCCTGTGCACAAAGATTTACATAAACAATTTTGCTGTTGGATCTGCCATAGATTTCCTTCTCAATGTTGACTGCATCTGCCACAGCAAGCTCTGTTTCTGCAGTTCTTCGAATAATTGGCAGATCTGCTTTCCTCAGAAAGTGCTCAATGAGACAGTTGAGTTGCATCTGCATGATAATGACTAAGTTACAAATCGAAAACCCATATCATTCAATAAATAAGAAGATAAAAGAAAACATTTTTATATGAAAACATCCACTAGAAACCTGTATTTTCATGGATAACCAAAATATGAGAAGACTGAACAGTTACAAATGAAGTGCAGTGCTGACAACAGAACGAATCGAGAACAATAAGGATAATGTTTGCCGGACCATGGGAGTTTCAGACATGGCAATACCAAAGAAGGCAAAACTTCCATCCATTAGTGATTACACTTAGAATCTTGGGCAACATTTCTAACCTTTTAATGAACATCGACTGAAATCTCAATTCAAAAGTAGTGCCAGGTTATTTTTAAAACAAAGAGTAGTGTCAGGTTAGGATGATGCATACACTTTCTTGGCTATTCGCTGTACTCTGCTTTTGATTAGTGCATAGCTTATTGCAAACCATTTGGTAATCACCGGACAAAACAGTGCCTTACTAGTAGATGCATCACCAGGAATCTATGGATCAGCCTGGTCTGATTTTTTACTTTTTCCCACGGTCATTTATGCTTAGTAAGTGATAATGATTTCACAATTTAATGATGTGTTACGTGGATTAATGTTGCCCACAGGGTACAACAGTGATCAGGCCTAGCTAGATCTCTATCAATGTAAAGATTGTAGCATGTTATTGCTCCACAACATAATGATGAGTTATGTGGATTAGTGTTGCCCACAGGGGACAAAGATGTTCAGGTTTAGCTATATCTCTATCAACATGCTTGAGTATGGCATGCCGTTGTCAGTCCTCCCAAGAAAGCCTAATCAAGGTCTCTGCTAGAATGATATGCATAATTGCATATTGTGATGAGGTCTGTCAATTAAGAGTTATTTTTTTCTGAAACAGCTCTTGAGAGCCATGTTTGAATAAAGGGTGAGGTTTGTATAAGGTTTCAACTTTAAACAATCACGGTAAGGTGCATCTCAAAAACTCATTAAACGATGTATTTTCGGTGCCAAAACTCTTATCATGGTCTAAAAGTCTATTTTCCACCCTTATAATGAAATTGAAAGCTCCAAAAATAGTGCAAATCTAGCAGATCTATGAGCACTTGAAAATCTTGAAAATAGACGGTCTAGATAATATGTTATAAGATGAACGAATTTTTAGGACTTGTTCATATTCATCTATATTGAGGTCAAGATGATCAATTGTTGAATTTTCTAGTGATGAAACAACACTTGTCAATGGGTTTTTGAGGTGCACCTTATTTCTACAGTATAAAGTTAACACCTTATATTAACTTTTTCCTTGAGAAAATAGACAATTCTGCAAGTGTCAGAATAGCGAAGGATGCATTACAACATGGAGTTGTCTACTCAGAATTCATTCCATTGGAGGAGCGTCCTTAGGAGTTTGGGATAATGTTCCACATATAAGTAGGAAGATATCACCCAAAAGTCCAAAGGTAGCAAGGCATTTTCATATACACCTAAATCAGGTAAATGGTCATACTGAGAATTCTATTCACAGATGCTGAAGATAGCGGCAATAAGAATACACAATGATAAATAAGCTAATTTAGCACCTGATAAACTATCTTTAGAATATCTGCGACAAGCCCAACCACAATCACGCATGTGACAATCACGCATGTGGACATGAGAAATATTCACTATTCAGTTTGAAAATTGATTACAAGTAATTGTGAAAAAGCATGTCGGCATTCCACAATGTTCACTATAAGCTAGAAACTTGATTACAGGCAATCATCAAACAAGTACAATCATGAAGCACATACTGCATAATGAATCCTTGAAAAAAATTGGAAAATGGGGAAGTACAGAACTTGTTCCATCTAAAGTTCACAATGTGAAATATTCTCACAGTTAAAAATGACAAAACGATTTTTACTCTGTTAAGTGTTCCTCAGAATTCTACTATTTGCAGGACATGGGAACATTAGAACTAATTTGCATGCTTATCCTTCAGGCAACAATCAGTTAACCTTCTTTGTTTGCAAAACACTGAGAGGAAATAGCTTGCACTAGTCATCAGTACTCAACATCTAAGTATACTTTTGGCAGGTATGTGTGATTATGCCAAATATATTACACACCTGTCTTACTGCTATTGGGACTTTACTGTGACGAGTGGCTGCCAAAGTTGGACGCATATCAGAAGGTAATTGTGCCTGTACATTCAAACAGGAAAAAATACATGTCAACTTGTAACATAGATAAGAAATATATATCAAACTATGAATAAGCAAAAGGATCATAGGTCTTCAAAATAATGATACCCACTAGTAGAGGGAAGGTTCCTTTTAGTCCTGTGACATCATCTTGTTTGCCAGGATCCCCATTGTTTATCTTAGCGGTCTTTCTGGCAAGAACCTCAAGGGCCCACTTCTTTTTATCGCTCTTAACATCATCAGATTTACCCACATCTTTGATAATTGAATTAGATTGTCCCTTATTTATATCAGATACAGGTAGTTTATCATGATTAGATTGTACTTTGCAGCTTTGAGTAGTGCTTTTGTTACCAGCATTGCTGTTAGGAATAGAAGTACCAGCACCTTGCTTGGGAACTTTGGCTGTTCTAGTGTTTAGATCGTGCTCTTTATTCTCTGCAGGTAAAGTTTTCATACCACAATCTGACATCACAGATAGAGGTTTAATATCATCCTTCCTTGGAAAAAGAGAAGCATCTGCTAGATACAATCTAGAAAAAATAGGATTAGCAGTTTCTCCTTCAGGTTTTTTTTCAACCTTTGAATCCTTCGAGTCACAGCTCTTCCTTAGGAGCTCAAGAACAGACTGAAGAGTCTCAACTTTCTCAGATTTTGTTCCGAAGCACCTGTGCTTCCAAAATTCTATTTCCCAGTCCCTATCCCAAGCATGCCGCCTCCTTCCACTTCCTGTTCCATATAACTTTTTGGTTAGGTTTTCTCGTACCGTTCCTTTTTGTAGCAGCATCTTCTTATGTTTTGCAATAATAGACGGGTTCACAGTCTTTGCCTCTGCTGAGTTGGGTCTTACTATAGCAGCCCTGAAAGCAGAGAGAAGCCTTGCTTCAACCTGATCATTCTTGTCAGAATTTATTAGAGTTTTGTCCAAAACTTCAACACTTATTTCTTTTCTTATCTTCTGTACTAGTATGGATGCCTCTTTGTCATCTGTTCCTCTCCTCATGATTTTTTTCACCCTCAGGCCAGTGCCATGAACAGTTTCTTTTGTAGATCCATCTGTAGCGCTAGGGGGTGCTTTTCCTTTGATAGATCTCAAGTCGGACCTCTGAACTATACTCATGATATCAGTGGGGGAGGCCTCTTTCATGAGAGACGGCGATAATTTGTGATAGCCTAGAGATTTCGTATGACTGAGACATTCATTTGATCCGTCTAACTCAGACTTCACATCCTGGCAACACCCAGATTTTCCGACCAATCTAGATTTCTTCTTAGAACCATCAGTTTGGGCTTCAACCTCCACCGAATCTCTAAGTTAAGAGAAAACAAGGAAAAATTCATTAAGGAATTGTAACCATTATCAGAGGATTATAACAGTAAAATAAAGTATGACGACAGTGAGAACCAGAAGAGTTCAGATTTGAAAGAAAGAAGTGAAAAGCCAAGAGTCATCAAATAGGAATGGCTCAAGGAGAATGCCTTGGTATGAACGGTTTAAAAAATGATGTAAATATTATTTTACTTTATAAGCAAACCTCATTCGGCAAAAGCATGTCAACAAAGATTACTTGCCTAAATAATGCCTCAAGAAAGACGAAGCAATTCCATATAACAGAGACATGAAACACAAGTGTGGAACATGGATCAAGCATATATCTCTAATGATAGAGTTCAAACATTATCTTTAATAATATTTTATGCTCAAATTCAGATGAAATAGTCCCAAACCTTGATCCTGACTTTCAATTTTTATCCACACATTTCTGGTTAAATACTAGTTCTCTTTGCCTGAAAAGAGCAATTTGGCATACCATGAAGAGCAACAGATTAAACCGTTAAGAACAGATACCGATACTGCAACGGGTTAAAGCCACAAAGAGAGAGAGACAGAGAGAGAGAGAGAGAGCAACAGGTTGGAAGTGAAATCATAAGCTTTCTTCTAGGATGGAAGTGCAACACTGTTTGAACCATAAGCACATATTAGTTTGAACTTTAAACTATAATTACTTTTTCAGACATTCGTTTTCTGCATCCAGATCTCAAGAAATCCTTCGTAATCATTGTTACATAATCTTATTCAAAGAGAAAGCCCTTAAAATATACCTAATTTTATGGAATCTCAATTGAAGCTGTAAAACAAAAGTTGAATGTGTTTACTAAAGTGGAACCTGTATATAGCAATCACAAGTTGAAAAGCCATAAAGTGGTGGAGAATTGAAATGAATTTTATTCTGAATTACGGTGAGTTCTCATCAGGACAACATGGAAATATCCAGTTGAGCAATGCAGGATGAATCAACCAGTTGAGAGCAAATGTTGAGATACACTTCCCAGTATGAGAACTATAAGTGAAAAACATCAGAAATTGGCCTAAAGGTTGGCTGTAAATGTGTCTCTTTTATTACCCTTTTCTTTAAGTAAGTGTGTGGGTTCACGTGTGTTCG